AATCTGTTATTCATAGCAAAATGCAGTGTACATAGAGATAGCACAGAGATACTGACAAATCGTCGAAGTGAACTGAAAAAAGAAGAAGAAGAAAACAGAAGACAACTCTAAAGGCAACAGGGGAGGTTAAAACCAGCAGAGTACAGCTAATTACTGCTTTTTTTCTTTATTTTTATATAGGTGTAGATCTGTACACATTCTGCAGCCCCCACAACAAACATGAGTTTGATATGTGATTACTGCAGGAGGATGACGGATATGGATGATACAAGCCTGACCCTTGCAACGTTTAGGACGATGCAAGCTGCCGTAAAGCATGAAGGCTGTTGCTGGTATTGCCCTGACTGCATAGTCAAGGTGAAAGAGGCGATTGCAAGCCATAGGGGAACGAGTTCCCTCAGGACGAAATTAGATGAAGCTGGAGCCTTGCTGGTTGCCAAACTAGAACAATATGGGAAAGATATCCTTGCTAAGACTGAGGAAGTAGCCGATAGAATGGAGGTGGTTGCTAAGAGGAGTTATGCTGAGGCATTAGCAGGGCCAGGGGAGGTGGCGGAGAGTAATGCAGAATCAGAACAGGTTCTACTGCAGCTAGGGACTCTGAAGAAGCGTGTCGAAGAAATGAAAATTAACGTACCTACTGTTAGGGAAGAGGAGGAACAACAGGAACGTTTCCAGCGCAGGAACAATGTAATAGTTTCTGGAGTCCCTGAGAGCCAGGCGGAGGGAACTGAGAGTAAGATAACACACGATAAGATGCAGTTTAAGAATATTTGTACAGAGGTTCTGAAGATACCATCAACCCTGAGGATGTGAGGAGGCTGGGACAAAAGCAGGGGGATAAGACTCGCCCCCTCAGGATCACACTAGTGAGTGAGGAGGAGAAATGGGAGGTTATTCGGCAGACAAAAAACTTAGCAAGGAGCGAAAGGTCGGCCCCTCGTAACGATCTTCAAGAGTGAAGTGCTTCCCCATCTGGAGTACTGTCACTCCGTCTGGTCCTCGAGATGTGCTAGGGACTGTCAGTTGGTTGAAAATGTTCAAAGGAGGGCCACCAGACTGGTACCTGCACTTAGGCACCTTAGCTACCCTGAGAGATTGGGGCGCCTGAACTTCCTTAGCTTATACTACAGACGGGCAAGGAGGGACCTAATTGAGGTGTATAAGCATCTCAAGGGGCACTACTCAGTCGAGTGCCCTTACTTGGAGCTGGCGGACGCTCGCCCCACAAGGGGTCACAGCTCAAGATTGAAGAAGCCACAAGCTCAGAAAACTATGAGGGCAAACTTTCTCAGAGTGAGAGTTGTGAACTCTTGGAACAATCTGCCAGAAATTGTTGTGACGGCACCGAGTGTGAGCTCTTTCAAGATAAGACTTGAACAACACTGGAGCAGGTTCAGGTACATTCAGGAGCCGGTGTATGCCCAGTACTTGCCAACAGTGTATAACAGAGACGTGACCGATCTCCCACGCGGTTAACGAGCCGATCAGTGGTGAAGAGGATAAAAGCAAAAGAAACATCTCGGAGTGTATTCATTCACCCAGATCGCACGGTAATGCGGAGGGAACAGCACAAGAAGCTCTTGCAGGGCTTGAAGCAGAGAAGGGAAGAGTCGAGGAGGAACGGGGACGGGTGTACATGGGTTATATTCAGGGAGAGGGTAGTGGAAGCAAGTGTGCCGACACAGGGCCAGGGGGCAGCAGCGCATCCACCACCCGCTCTACGCCCCACCCGGGAGGTGGCACCAGCTCCGCCTACCAGCCGGGAGGAGGCGAGCGCCGTGTAAACAAAGACATTTCTATCAACACCCTGCAAAATACAGTGTACTTAGCAAATGCTGCAGCTTCTGAGAATTTGGGGGTACTACTAAGAGCAGAGACGTTACCGATAACAAATTCTAGCTTGAATGTCATGACACTAATACTGACACGTTCCTTGATAAAAGAGAGGAGTTTGAAACACTACTGAAGGTACACCAACCAGATAATGTAGGAGTTGTAGAACTGTTGTACAAGAACAGGAGAATCGACCCAGAGGAAAATGAATTCAGTATTGCTGGATATGACTCATTTTCGACCTTTCTCAAGAAACTTGCAAGAGGGGTGAGGTTATCTATGCTAGACAAGACCTTAGAGCCAGCCAGGCGAGGGTACAGGGAGAGGATGCTTTTGAAGAGTCCAAGTGGTGTAAAATTAAATTAAAGGGAGGGAACTTACTTATCGTCAGGTGTATCTACAGATCCCCAAACTGTGGCCCACTAAATCAAAGGAACTAAAGAGCCTTAATAGACAATGCGGCGATGCTCAACCCTAGCCACCTCCTTATCATAGGGGACTTTAACTATAGCGACATCGACTGGAGAAACGAGTCCACCTCAAATGACTTGAATAACCCTGCTACTATTTTTGTAGAAACTCTGAGAGATAATTTTCTGTTCCAACATGTTAGAGACCCGAAACCTCATCATAACAAACGAGGAGGGTATGGTGGCCAAATTGGAACACCTTGCCCCAGTTGGCACCAGTCACCATATAGTGTTGTCATTCAGATATAATTGTTACATAGTTCAAGATAAAGCCAGGCCAAGGTGGAAATGTTACAAGGGAAATTACAACGGAATTATGGAAGAGATGAGGGGTATCCACTGGCCTGACTCATTAAGGTACAAGAACGCAGACACTACGCTGAATATCATAACTAGTAAAGTGACCCATTTGATCGATAAATATATACCCAAGACCAAACCCAGTGCTTCTAGGAATACGAGGGGATCTCTACACATGAACCATGCGGCGGTCGACAAAGTTAAGAAGAAAACCCAGAAATTCAAGACGTGGGTTGGGTCAAACTATGCGCAGGACAGGAGGATGTATGCAAGAGCCAGAAACCAAGCAAAGGTAGAAGAGGTGAAAAGGAGTTGCAAAGGCTGGTTGCAAACGAGGTCACGTCAAACCCAAAGGATAAAGCTGAGGCATTGAACAGCTTCTTTTCCTCGGTGTTCACAAGAGAGGATGCAAATAACCTTCCTGCGTTTGAGGACAGACGGTTCGACACAGCACCGACCCACATTGTGTTCACAGAAGAGGGTATTAGAAATAAACTGTCAAAGCTAAAGGTCCATAAGACTCCCGGCTCTGACATCTTGCATCGCTGGGTGCTAAGAGAGTTGTGCAACAAGCTTGTCGAGCCCCTGAAGATCCTGTTTTGTAAATGCCTGGATGAACAAAAGGTCCCAAATGATTGGAAAGTGGCTTATATGAGTCGTATCTTCAAGAAGGGCGATCGTCACTCCACGAACAACTATAGACCGGTGAGCCTGACCAGCATAATATGCAAAGTACTTGAGAGTATTATCAGAGATGCCGCGATGGAACCTCTACTCCGAAACAACCTTGTAAAGCATTGCCAATACGGTTTTATGCCGGGGCGCTCCTGCTTAACACAATTGCTCAAGGTATCGGATATTTGGACCCATATTCTGGAACGGGGTGGTAATATCGACAAGATATACCTAGATTTTGCCAAGGCTTTCGACAGTGTACCCCTCGAAAGGCTGAAAATCAAATTGGAAGGGTACGGAATTCGGGGAAATGTCCTAGCGTGGATAGAAGACTTTCTACATGACCGCAAGCAGTGTGTGGTGATTAATGGCTCGAAATCATCATCTGTACCTGTCACAAGCGGAGTACTAGAGGACAGTGTACTGTGCCCGCCGATTTTTGTTTGTTTCATCAATGACATGCCTGACGTTGTACGCTCCTCCATACAAATGTTTGCCGATGACGCCAAGTTATTTCGGGAAATCAAGAACCTTGTGGACCGTGAGGAGCTGCAGAAGGATCTCTCTGAGCTCCCAGAATGGTCGAAGAAATGGCTGCTGAGATTCAATGTCACGATGTGTAAGAGGATGCACCTGGGGCGTACCAACGGTAAGGAGGTGTATCATATGTCCCAACGGGATGAAGAAACTGCATTATTTGAGGCAATGTGAGAAGGACCTAGGTGTGTATGTTGACAATGAGCTGAAGTTCTCGGGACTTTGCGAGAAAAAGATAAATCAGGCAAATAATTTATTGGGTCTTATAAGAAGGTCGTTCAGATATCTAGACGGTCTGTCCCTCGTAACGATCTTCAAGAGTGTAGCGCTTCCCCATCTGGAGCACTGTCACCCCATCTGGTCCCCGAGATATGCTAGGGACTGTCAGTTGGTTGAAAATGTTCAAAGGAGGGCCACCTGACTGGTGCCTGTACTTCGGCGCCTCAACTTCCCTGAGAGATTGGAGCGCCTGAACTTGCCTAGCTTATCCTATAGACGGGCAAGGGTGGACCTAGTTGAGGTGTCAATGCATCTCAAGGGGCACTACTCAGTCGAGTGTCCTTACTTGGAGCTGGCGGACGCTCGCCCCACAAGGGGTCACAGCTCAAGATTGAGGAAGCCGCAGGTCCAGAAAATTGTTAGGGCAAAATTTTTCGGAGTGAGGGTTGTGAACTCTTGGAGCAATCTACCAGAAAGTGTTGTGACGGCACCGAGTATGAGCTCTTTCAAGACAAGACTTGACCAACACTGGAGCAGGTTCAGGTACAATCAGGAGCCAGTGCATGCCCAGTACTTGCCAACAGTGCGTAACAGAGACGTGACCGATCGCCCAAGAGGCTAACGAACCGATCAGTGGTGAAGAGGATAAAATTAAAAGTAAGGGATGCTCTCAATATCCCACTGTAGTTGTATTATCGTGCTAAGTTCATTATGTTAAGGAATGTTGTATCAAATGTTTACTGACGTTTACTGATGGTGTATTAATTGTCTTTGACAGGTTTGAACGAATTATATTATCGAATCATCGCATGTGAGTCTACTTATCCCGTGATTGCATGATTGCCTTAAAGTCGATCACCAATCAACAGTCCAAGAATGACCACCAGGTATTTGGAATCTGCCAGCAGTAACTTATAAAGTTGATAGCAACTCAGTTCATAGGATATATTAACTGATACTCACGGCAAAATAAAGGTCCAGGAAGGACACTCATTTCTGTTGTTGAAGATATTGTAGTGATTGAAACGTTTATTGTTGTTCTGACAGTTTCTGGGGAGAGAGAAATGCTAGTAGTTGTTGATGGAGGCACAAAGGTTGTTGTTTTATATATTGTAATAATGATTGGTGACGTGACTGTAGTTGAGGGTAACGAGGAGAAAATCATTGGCTCCTGTGTTGTCGTTTCTGAGGAAAGAAAAAAATATTGAAAACACTGGCTAAAAATATGACTGCATCATAGTGATCTGTTACAAGGATAAATTTCAAAGGAGAGAGAAATTCTGTGGAAGCAGGGTCGTACCAGTGGTTGTTGGAGACACACTGGAGGAATTCAGGGTGGAGGTTGATGTGAAAGGAATAGTGGTGTTGATCACTGGCGGCCGAGATGATGTAAACTTTTCTGGAGAGAGAAAGACAGTTTTACTAACATTCGTGTGAAACGAAATTTTGAAAAACAAAAGTGAGAGTTAAAGAACAGCAAAATATGGAATCATAAAAATAAATAATCATTGGATGTTGTATGTTTCCACAAATCATAAAATATATAGTGTGTTAGGACTTCTGGAAATTTTGTACATACAGTATACTGGTGCAAATACTTTTAGTCGTTTCCATGTTTTGGTGTTCTATGGTGTTGGTGCAAACTGGCCAGGGATAAAATGTTGGCATATTAAAAAGGTTTGGATGACACAATTATTGTTGAAGTTGAAGATGCAGATGATGTACCTGGATTAATGGTTTCATCATATCTTAGGGAAAGAAATTGTCTATAGTAGTGGTCGATGGTGGAGGAAGAAAGGTTGATGGGGATGAGGGGTTGATTTTGTGGAGGGATTTTTTGCTTCTATGGAAAAGTCTGGCGATGTGACTGTAGTTGTGGATGCTGTTAAATTTTCTGAGCAAGAAACCGGTTTTGGTGGGATAATTTGGGAGAACAAATAACTGAAAATGTTGTTAACAACAGAGAAAACGTTGTTCAATTGCTAAACATTAAGGTACTTTTGTTTGGAATAAATTTGGGAGAAGAAATCGCTCACGATACGTTAAGAATAGATATTGAAGTTTCAGGATTCCCTTGAGTTTAAAATATTGCCTGTGGGCAAAGGGTGCCCCACATATTACTGTAATCCAACGTTTGTAGCTAAGTCAGACGATGAGACCGTAGCTATGGATTAAGTAAGGGCAGTAATCAAGGTTTGTTAACAATTTGTATCAGCGTTGAGTGGTCAGAACCTATTGCAATCAATCAGTCAGGTTGAGTTCATAAAGCTGCCTAGAAATCTATATATCATTGTCAATGATATATCTGCAGAGGAAACGCATTGTGATGTAGGTTGAATAGTTTATATATATATATATATATATATATATATATATATATATATATATATATATATATATATATATATATATATATATATATATATATATATATATATATATATATATATATAAGGCAGCTACCAAACAGGGAGGTACTACCGCCTGGGAAGATATTGAAAGCATAATGTATTGTCTAATGGTAGACCCTGCTGCCATATGGCATCACGAAAACTGTGACCAAGTCCCAGGTTGCTGATCTGAGTTTCTGCCTCATTTACACACAATTGCAGGGTCTCAATTGTTTCTCTTACTGTTGACAACTCAACATACATATATTGTTTGTCGCTTTTGATCTTTTTTTGGTTTTGTATTTCTTTATTATTATTATACAGTGTTGTTGTAATTATTATTATCATTTTTAATTAATTATTTTATTTTAAAATTTGTATTTTTTATTCTAAATTTTATTTACTATGAATTATTATTACATTACACACACACACACACACACACACATATATATATATATATATATATATATATATATATATATATATATATATATATATATATATATATATATATATATATATACATACAGGTATAAGAGAAATATGTAGAGGCATGATTATACCAGTGGTTGTTGATGACTTATTGGGGAAGTCAGGGGTCGTGGACGATGGAGGATCACTGGCTGTGCTTGTCACGGATGGCCGACCTGTTGTAAATATTTTTGCAATTAGGAAAACTATGTTATATATACTGTACTGTTGAGTCAGACAACCGTACTCAAGACGAGGAATCCTCTCACCTCCATGATTCCTACATAGTGCACTGTGTAATTTCTCAACCACACTCCCCCACAGCCTGACCACACACTCCCACACACACCCTGACCTCCTCCTACTTTGCCGTCACTCGGAATCGAGTATGAAGATCATCCAGCTACGATACAATGATATGAGTTAATAAGGATGTCACCTAGGTTGGCGAGTTTTGAGGTGACTAAAGAGGCCGATACAGGACCGGTAGGGTCGATCACAGATGTTGCACATGTGGATGGCTACATCTAGTGCGAGAGGGACGGCACCAATGTCTTTCCGGGGTTGGCAAATGTCTGCCTCGAAATGCTGTTGGGCTAACTCGAAATGCTGTTGGGCTAACTCGAAAGTATTGACACCTTCTTGTGTGATGATCCTCCAAGCGTTACGGTGTGGAGTAATAGTCTCCCAGGTGAGGGAGTCGATTTGGCACTTTTTCAGTTTTCACTTAAGCCTGTCCTTATACCTTTTCAGTTGGCCACCAGTGTTACGTTTACTATTCATTAGGTGACTGTAAGGTGCCTGCTTTGGCAGTCTAATGTCGTCCATGGGGGTAACATGGCCAGTCCAGCGTAGTTGTTCATGGATAATGGTAGCCTCGATGCTCCTACAGGTGGTGTCAGCAAGAATACTGGCATTTGCTCTCTTATCTTCAGCGAATTCGGAGGATGGAACGTAGACTACGTTGGTGAAAGTAGTCAAGTGCCTTGAGGTGCCTCCTGTATGTGACCCATGTCTCACTGCCATATAGCAGGGTGGGGAAGACCACGGGTCGATAAAATTGTAGCTTTGCAGAAAATTTCAGCTCCCGACAGCTGAAGACATGGTTTCGGAGTCTGTCAAAGGCTTGAGATGCACATCTGATCTGATGATGAATCTTTTCATCGATGTCTGCGGTGGTGAGCAAGTGGGAGCCGAGATAACGAAAGTGGGTAACATTAGAGAGGTTAGTAACGTTAAGCTGGATGGATGGTGGAGGTGTGGCTGAAACCAGGGCAGGCTGAAGAAGAATCTGAGTCTTACGTACATTCATCTCAAGTCCAAAGTGTGCTTACGCATCTGCTTAGGTGTTCAGGCTCTCCCGAAGGTAACGTTCAGTGTGAGCGCTAATGGTGAGGTTGTCTGCATACTGAAGCTCAGTAATGGAAGCTGCAGACACCTTTGTTCCTGCCTGGAGCCGTCTTAAGTTGAAAAGACCTATCATCCGGCACTTACTGTCCACCCCGCCGGCTAAATTGGCATGAGTAAGGAAGGCAGCCAAGGAAATGGGAAAGAGAGTTGGTGCCAGTACACACCCCTGTTTATGCCTTGTTTAGATGAGGAAGAATTCAGACGGGGTGCCATTGTGCAGGACACTGCCGTTCATGCCATCGTAGAGTTCCCTCACAATGGCGATGAATTTTGGTGGGCAGCCAAAGCGGCTGAGGGTCCACCAGAGGGCTTCCCTGTTGTCTGAGTCAAAGGTCTTTGTTTGGACCATGAAATCCATGTACAGGTCACGACACTGTTCTCTGCACTTTTCCTGCATCTGACGGGCAGCAAAGATCATGTCATTGGTGCCACGTAATGGTCTAAAGCCACATTGACATTCTAATAGTTTTCCGCCTCAGGAAGAAGTTTGCTTAGGATTACCTGGGCAACAATCTTGTCAGCTATGGAGAGCAGCGAGATTCCGCGGTAGTTGCCACAGTGTGACCGGTGTCCCTTGTTCTTATAAATATTGACGATGGAGGTGTCTTTAAGAGCTTGGGGATTTCCTCCTTTTCCCATATATTCTCCAGGAGAGAGTGGAGACGGCTGGTAAGCAGAGGTCCTCCTGCTTTATACCCCTCGGCTGGGATTCCATCAGGCCCAGAGGCTTTGTTATTTTTCATATGTTTGATAGCAGTAGCTACCTCATCCAGGGATGGAGGATAGCTGAGGTGGTTCAGCTCTTGTTGCTGAAGGACCTGCTGGGAAGTCAAGACATTCACATCGGTGTTTTGGTTGAGCAATGAATGGGGTGCTCTTTCCAGTGTTGAAGGAGGCCTCCATCGTCTTTAATTGTGGAGTTAACGTCGGATGAGCAGAAAGGGGCTGTGCCATGAGTGATTGGCCCATAAAATGTATTAGTGGATTTGAAAAATTCGTGCATCTTGTGCTGATCTGCAAATTTTTGTGTTGCACATGCTTTATTTGTAAGCCAGTCGTTCTTTAGATTGTGAAGTTCTCGCTAGGCCGCCGCTTTCTTCTTGCGGAAGGTATCAGCATTGGTCCAAGACTGAGGGTTGTTCTGCCAGTCAGTTAACGCAGCACCTTTATCATTGATGAGTACACTGATTGCCGGGTCGTTTTCGTCAAACCAGTCCTGGTGTATTCTTTCGATTTGGCAGGGGGTCTCTCTGTAGATTTTCGTAATGACAGTGTCGAGAATATCCCATTCGGCACTGGAATTTGGGTTGTTTGTTGTCGGGTTGTTTATCAGCCCATGCTAGAGTTGCTCTCTGAAAGCATGTACTACCACTGGATCCTCCAGACGCTTAGTGTTAAAACCTCTTCTGGAGGCTTGCTGCCTTCGCCATTTTGGGGCGACGTAGAGTGAAAGTTTGGCTCTGACGAGCCGGTTATTAGTATCACAGTGGTTTGAGCCTTGCCTGGCATGGGTGATGAGGACATCTCGGTGATCACTTTTTCTGACAATGATATCGTCAATGAAATGCCAGTGTTTGGATCGTGGGTGTTGCCATTAACCCTTGAACTTGTCGGCCTGCCTAAACAAGGTATTGGTGATAATGAGGTTGTGTGCAGCACACTTGATGAGGAGCAGTAGGCCTTGGAACTACACTTGTCTAGTACATTTTCCCTATGGTTCCATGCCAAATGTCAGCATGTCTACCAAATCTGGCATTGAAGTCACCAAGGAGCACAACCTTATCTTCTCTGGGGTTAGAGGTTAGCACTCTGTCGAGGTCAGCGTAAAAGGCCTCCTTGATGTCATCCTCTGCATCCAGTGTTGAGGCATGTGCACTGATGAAGAAGGCATGACGTGAGTGATTCAGTGGGAATCTAGAGCGTCATGAGGCGTTCGTCGATCCCAATAGGCATTTCAGTTAACCTTTGTAGGATGCATTGGCAGATGGCAAAGCAAGCCCCATAAATGTGGTTTTTCTCTGCAGGAGGCTTACCCTTCCAGAAGAAGGAATAGCCAGACCCCGTTCTGTGAGTTGACCCTCGTCTGGGAGCCAGGACTCACTATTGGCTGCTATGTCGACGTTATACCTAGCCAGCTCTTTTGCCACAAGGGCGGTTTTTCTTTCAGGACGTTCATTTGTGCTAGTATCAAGAAGGGTCCTGAGATTCCATGCAGAGACTATACGAGGTTGTATAGTTTGTTTTGTTTGGATCTGCGATTTTTATTATGTTTTCGACTAAGTAAAGATGACCTTACTGGGTGCGCTTGCCCAGTCATATTTTTTTTTTAGGCAGGCTATGTTTAGGGCACCTTTTCTAGCCCCCTCCCCATGTGGGGCGAGTATAGTGGCTCCTCCAGAGGGCTGCACTGCTGCTTAGATCCCAGTGCAGAAACGACCACCTTATCTGTGCCGCCCATGTGCAGAGTTGTGACAAGAGACTCCCGGCAGTCATCTCTGCCTGTCCACGTCGTCACTCGTCCGTCGCCATAGGACTTTTGGGAGTATAGGGATTTTGATGATGACGAGATGTATGATTAGCTGGATGATGGCTGCGCGTGAGTTGATTTATGCGGTAAGGCAGGAGCTCAGGCTGGAACCACACATCTTGGCTTTCCCTTTTTCTGATTCATTGGTGCAAGTGTTGCAACGACTGGGGAGAGGGAGAGTTGCAGTGGACTGATGATAGCCCATTTTGTTGAGTTTCTCCTTCGTAGCCTGTCCATCAAGCATTGCCTTTATCCTCTGGTGTAATCATTGGGTTCCAATGGTGTTTACCTCTTCCACCTATACCGCCGTTGGGGTCTTGTTGGAGCTCTGTTAGCATTTCTGCCATATGTGCGGCTCCACTTCGGATTTTCGTTTGGGGTTTACCCCCGTAGCCTTATACCTGCCAAGATTAATCCGCAAGGGAGCGGGGCAGTGGTTGGTAGGAGCCAGGACGTGTCCACATGCCAGTGGGCCTATGTGCCATTCCTCTGGGGCCCACTGCTACTCCGAGATCCCCTGCTGGTCTAGTATGGGCCCACGAGGTATCCAGTTACCGTGTGTTGCCACGAGGAGGCATTGCGGGAGTCTTGATGGTGAAGAGGCTGTGTACTGGCAGGGGAAGACTTATACAAGTTGCTTCCCTTTCGCCACGAGGGCTAGCCAGCGATGGTAGCCGAAAGCGAGTGGGAGCAAGCAGTGATTGCACCTTAACACTAACATAATGCTGCCACACTAGACGCATTTCAACACCCTGTGTACGAACACACACACACGCACACACATCCTGACCACAGTCCCATACACACCCTGACCACACTCCCACACACACCCTGATCACACTCCCACACACACACACACCATGACCACACTCCCACACACACACACCCACACATACACACACTCCCTGACCACACACCAAACACACACGGACCAAATACGGTGATGAAGGAAACATTATTGTTTGGTTCTTTTTGTCGTTTTTAGAAGAAAAAAATATTGAAAACACTGGCTAAAAAGAATACTGCATCTTAGTGATATGTTACATGGGTGAGTTTCAAAGGAGAGAGTAATTCTGTGGAAGCAGGGTCGTACCAGTGGTTGTTGGAGACACACTGGAGGAATTCAGGGTGGAGGTTGATGTGAAAGGAATAGTGGTGTTGATCACTGGCGGCCGAGATGATGTAAACTTTTCTGGAGAGAGAAAGACAGTTTTACTAACATTCGTGTGAAACGAAATTTTTTAAACAAAAGTGAGAGTTAAAGAACAGCAAAATATGGAATCATAAAAATAAATAATCATTGGATGTTGTATGTTTCCACAAATCATAAAATATATAGTGTGTTAGGACTTCTGGAAATTTTGTACATACAGTATACTGGTGCAAATACTTTTAGTCGTTTCCATGTTTTGGTGTTCTATGGTGTTGGTGCAAACTGGCCAGGGATAAAATGTTGGCATATTAAAAAGGTTTGGATGACACAATTATTGTTGAAGTTGAAGATGCAGATGATGTACCTGGATTAATGGTTTCATCATGTCTTGGGGAAAGAAATTGTCTATAGTAGTGGTCGATGGTGGAGGAAGAAAGGTTGATGGGGATGAGGGGTTGATTTTGTGGAGGGATTTTTTGCTTCTATGGAAAAGTCTGGCGATGTGACTGTAGTTGTGGATGCTGTTAAATTTTCTGAGCAAGAAACCGGTTTTGGTGGGATAATTTGGGAGAACAAATAACTGAAAATGTTGTTAACAACAGAGAAAACGTTGTTCAATTGCTAAACATTAAGGTACTTTTGTTTGGAATAAATTTGGGAGAAGAAATCGCTCACGATACGATAAGAATAGATATTGAAGTTTCAGGATTCCCTTGAGTTTAAAATATTGCCTGTGGGCAAAGGGTGCCCCACATATTACTGTAATCCAACGTTTGTAACTAAGTCAGACGATGAGACCGTAACTATGGATTAAGTAAGGGCAGTAATCAAGGTTTGGTAACAATTTGTATCAGCGTTGAGTGGTCAGAACCAATTGCAATCAATGAGTCAGGTTGAGTTCATAAATCTGCCTAGAAATCTATATATCATTGTCAATGATATATCTGCAGAGGAAACGCATTGTGGTGTAGGTTGAATAGTTTATATATATATATATATATATATATATATATATATATATATATATATATATATATATATATATATATATATATATATATATATATATATATATATATATATATATATATATATATATATATATATATATATATATATATATATATATATATATATATATAAGGCAGCTATCAAACAGGGAGGTACTACTGCCTGGGAAGATATTGGAAGCATAATGTATTGTCTAATGGTAGACCCTGCTGCCATATGGCATCACGAAAATTGTGACCAAGTCCCAGGTTGCTGATCTGATTTTCTGCCTCATTTACACACAATTGCAGGGTCTCAATTGTTTCTCTTACTATTGACAACTCAACATACCTATATTGTTTCTCGCTTTTGATCTTTTTTTTGGTTTTGTATTTCTTTATTATTAATATTAAAGTGTTGTTATAATTATTATTATCATTATTAATTTATTATTTTATTTTAAAATTTGTATTTTTTATTCTAAATTTTATTTACTATGAATTATTATTACATTACACACACACACACACACACACACATATATATATATATATATATATATATATATATATATATATATATATATATATATATATATATATATATATATATATATATATGCAAGTAAATCACTGTAGGTGCGCGTGATCCAGGTATATGCTGATAACCACAAGGAAAAAGAAAACACGAAGTTCCAAGCGCTTTCGTGTAATTCACATCTTCAGGGGTGAGTACAGACTGTACTCACCCCATAATGTGGAATTACACGAAAGCGCTTTCGTGATCTTCGGGGTTCCTTTTTCCCTGTGATATAGCATATATATATATATATATATATATATATATATATATATATATATATATATATATATATATATATATATATATATATATATATATATATATATATATATATATATATATATATATATATACATGCAGGTATAAGAGAAATATGTAGAGGCATGATTATACCAGTGGTTGTTGATGACTTATTGGGGAAGTCAGGGGTCGTGGACGATGGAGGATCACTGGCTGTGCTTGTCACGGATGGCCGACCTGTTGTAAATATTTTTGCAATTAGGAAAACTATGTTATATATACTGTACTGTTGAGTCAGACAACCGTACTCGAGACCAGGAATCCTCTCACCTCCATGATTCCTACATAGTGCACTGTGTAATTTCTCAACCACACTCCCCCACAGCCTGACCACACACTCCCACACACACCCTGACCTCCTCCTACTTTGCCGTCACTCGGAATCGAGTATGAAGATCATCCAGCTACGATACAATGATATGAGTTAATAAGGATGTCACCTAGGTTGGCGAGTTTTGAGGTGACTAAAGAGGCCGATACGGGACCGGCAGGGTCGATCACAATGTTGCACATGTGGATGGCTACATCTAGTGCGAGAGGGACGACAACAATGTCTTTCCGGCGTTGGCAAATGTCTGACTCGAAATGCTGTTGGGCTAACTCGAAATTATTGACACCTTCTTGTGTGATGATCCTCCAAGCGTTACGGTGTGGAGTAATAGTCTCCCAGGTGAGGGAGTCGATTTGGCACTTTTTCAGTTTTCACTTAAGCCTATCCTTATACCTTTTCAGTTGCCCACCAGTGTTACGTTTACTATTCATGAGGTGACTGTAAGGTGGCTGCTTTGGCAGTCTACTGTCGTCCATGGGGGTAACATGGCCAGTCCAGCGTAGTTGTTCATGGATAATGGTAGCCTCGATGCTTTTACAGGTGGTGTCAGCAAGAATACTGGTATTTGCTCTCTTATCTTCAGCGAATTCGGAGGATGGAACGTAGACTACGTTGGTGAAAGTAGTCAAGTGCCTTGAGGTGCCTCCTGTATGTGACCCATGTCTCACTGCCATATAGCAGGGTGGGGAAGACCACGGGTCGATAAAATTGTAACTTTGCAGAAAATTTCAGTTCCCGACAGCTGAAGACATGGTTTCGGAGTCTGTCAAAGGCTTGAGATGCACATCTGATCTGATGATGAATCTTTTCATCGATGTCTGCGGTGGTGAACAAATGGGAGCCGAGATAACGAAAGTGGGTAATATTAGAGAGGTTAGTAACGTTAAGCTGGATGGATGGTGGAGGTGTGGCTGAAACCAGGGCAGGCTGAAGAAGAATCTGAGTCTTACGTACATTCATCTCAAGTTCAAAGTGTGCTTACGCATCTGCTTAGGTGTTCAGGCTCTCCCGTAGGTAACGTTCAGTGTGAGCGCTAATGGTGAGGTTGTCTGCATACTGAAGCTCAGTAATGGAAGCTGCAGACACCTTTGTTCCTGCCTGGAGCCGTCTTAAGTTGAAAAGACCTATCATCCGGTACTTACTGTCCACCCCACCGGCTAAATTGGCATGAGTAAGGAAGGCAGCCAAGGAAATGGGAAAGAGAGTTGGTGCCAGTACACATCCCTGTTTATGCCTCGTTTAGATGAGGAAGAATTCAGACGGGGTGCCATTGTGCAGGACACTGCCGTTCATGCCATCGTAGAGTTCCCTCACAATGGCGATCGATGAATTTTGGTGGGCAGCCAAAACGGCTGAGGGTCCACCAGAGGGCTTCCCGTTGTCTGAGTCAAAGGTCTTTGTTTGGAAGAGGGAATCCATGTACAGGTCACGACACTGTTCTCTGCACTTTTCCTGCATCTGACTGGTAGCAAAGATCATGTCATTGGTGCCACGTAATGGTCTAAAGCCACATTGACATTCTAATAGTTTCCGCCTTAGGAAGTTTGTTTAGGATTACCTGGGCAACAATCTTGTCAGCTATGGAGAGCAGCGAGATTCCGCGGTAGTTGCCACAGTGTGACCGGTGTCCCGTGTTCTTATAAATATTGACGATGGAGGTGTCTTTAAGAGCTTGGGGATTTCCTCCTTTTCCCATATATTCTCCAGGAGAGAGTGGAGACGGCTGGTAAGCAGAGGTCCTCCTGCTTTATACTCCTCGGCTGGGATTCCATCAGGCCCAGAGGCTTTGTTATTTTTCATATGTTTGATAGCAGTAGCTACCTCATCCAGGGATGGAGGATAGCTGAGGTGGTTCAGCTCTTGTTGCTGAAGGACCTGCTGGGTAGTCAGGACATTCACATCGGTGTTTTGGTTGAGCAATGAATGGGGTGCTCTTTCCAGTGTTGAAGGAGGCCTCCATCGTCTTTAATTGTGGAGTTAACGTCGGATGAGCAGAAAGGGGCTGTGCCATGAGTGATTGGCCCATAAAATGTATTAGTGGATTTGAAAAATTCGTGCATCTTGTGCTGATCTGCAAATTTTTGTGTTGCACATGCTTTATTTGTAAGCCAGTCGTTCTTTAGATTGTGAAGTTCTCGCTAGGCCGCCGCTTTCTTCTTGCGGAAGGTATCAGCATTGGTCCAAGATTGAGGGTTGTTCTGCCAGTCAGTTAACGCAGCACCTTTATCATTGATGAGTACACTGATTGCCGGGTCGTTTTCGTCAAACCAGTCCTGGTGTATTCTTTCGATTTGGCAGGGGGTCTCTCTGTAGATTTTCGTAATGACAGTGTCGAGAATATCCCATTCGGCACTGGAATTTGGGTTGTTTGTTGTCGGGTTGTTTATCAGCCCATGCTAGAGTTGCTCTCTGAAAGCATGTACTACCACTGGATCCTCCAGACGCTTAGTGTTAAAACCTCTTCTGGAGGCTTGCTGCCTTCGCCATTTTGGGGAGACGTAGAGTGAAAGTTTGGCTCTGACGAGCCGGTTATTAGTATCACAGTGGTTTGAGCCTTGCCTGGCATGGGTGATGAGGACATCTCGGTGATCACTTTTTCTGACAATGATATCGTCAATGAAATGCCAGTGTTTGGATCGTGGGTGTTGCCATTAACCCTTGAATTTGTCGGCCTGCCTAAACAAGGTATTGGTGATAATGAGGTTGTGTGCAGCACACTTGATGAGGAGCAGTAGGCCTTGGAACTACACTTGTCTAGTGCATTTTCCCTATGGTTCCATGCCAAATGTCAGCATGTCTACCAAATCTGGCATTGAAGTCACCAAGGAGCACAACCTTATCTTCTCTGGGGTTAGAGGTTTGCACTCTGTCGAGGTCAGCGTAAAAGGCCTCCTTGATGTCATCCTCTGCATCCAGTGTTGGGGCATGTGCACTGATGAAGAAGGCATGACGTGAGTGATTCAGTGGGAATCTAGAGCGTCATGAGGCGTTCGTCGATCCCAATAGGCATTTCAGTTAACCTTTGTAGGATGCATTGGCAGATGGCAAAGTAAGCCCCATAAATGTGGTTTTTCTCTGCAGGAGGCTTACCCTTCCAGAAGAAGGAATAGCCAGACCCCGTTCTGCGAGTTGACCCTCGTCTGGGAGCCAGGACTCACTATTGGCTGCTATGTCGACGTTATACCTAGCCAGCTCTTTTGCCACAAGGGCGGTTTTTCTTTCAGGACGTTCATTTGTGCTAGTATCAAGAAGGGTCCTGAGATTCCATGCAGAGACTATACGAGGTTGTATAGTTTGTTTTGTTTGGATCTGCGATTTTTATTATGTTTTCGACTAAGTAAAGATGACCTTACTGGGTGCGCTTGCCCAGTCATATTTTTTTTTTAGGCAGGCTATGTTTAGGGCACCTTTTCTAGCCCCCTCCCCATGTGGGGCGAGTATAGTGGCTCCTCCAGAGGGCTGCACTGCTGCTTAGATCCCAGTGCAGAAACTACCACCTTATCTGTGCCGCCCATGTGCAGAGTTGTGACAAGAGACTCCCGGCAGTCATCTCTGCCTGTCCACGTCGTCACTCGTCCGTCGCCATAGGACTTTTGGGAGTATAGGGATTTTGATGATGACGAGATGTATGATTAGCTGGATGATGGCTGCGCGTGAGTTGATTTATGCGGTAAGGCAGGAACTCAGGCTGGAACCACACATCTTGGCTTTCCCTTTTTCTGATTCAGTGGTGCAAGTGTTGCAACGACTGGGGAGAGGGAGAGTTGCAGTGGACTGATGATAGCCCATTTTGTTGAGTTTCTCCTTCGTAGCCTGTCCATCAAGCATTGCCTTTATCATCTGGTGTAAGCATTGGGTTCCAATGGTGTTTACCTCTTCCACCTATACCGCCGTTGGGGTCTTGTTGGAGCTCTGTTAGCATTTCTGCCATATGTGCGGCTCCACTTCGGATTTTCGTTTGGGGTTTACCCCCGTAGCCTTATACCTGCCAAGGTTAATCCGCAAGGGAGCGGGGCAATGGTTGGTAGGAGCCAGGACGTGTCCACATGCCAGTGGGCCTATGTGCCATTCCTCTGGGGCCCACTGCTACTCCGAGATCCCCTGCTGGTCTAGTATGGGCCCACGAGGTATCCAGTTACCGTGTGTTGCCACGAGGAGGCATTGCGGGAGACTTGATGGTGAAGAGGCTGTGTACTGGCAGGGGAAGACTTATACAAGTTGCTTCCCTTTCGCCACGAGGGCTAGCCAGCGATGGTAGCCGAAAGCGAGTGGGAGCAAGGAGTGATTGCACCTTAACACTAACATAATGCTGCCACACTAGACGCATTTCAACACCCTGTGTACGAACACACACACGCACACACATCCTGACCACAGTCCCACACACACCCTGACCACACTCCCACACACACCCTGATCACACTCCCACACACACACACCCTGACCACACTCCCACACACACACACACCATGACCACACTCCCACACACACACACCCACACACACACACACTCCCTGACCACACACCAAACACACACGGACCAAATACGGTGATGAAGAAAACATTATTGTTTGGTTCTTGTTGTCGTTTTTAGAAGAAAAATATATTGAAAACACTGGCTAAAAAGTTAACTGCATCTTAGTGATATGTTACACGGGTGAGTTTCAAAGGAGAGAGTAATTCTGTGGAAGCAGGGTCGTACCAGTGGTTGTTGGAGACACACTGGAGGAATTCAGGGTGGAGGTTGATGTGAAAGGAATAGTGGTGTTGATCACTGGCGGCCGAGATGATGTAAACTTTTCTGGAGAGAGAAAGACAGTTTTACTAACATTCGTGTGAAACGAAATTTTTTAAACAAAAGTGAGAGTTAAAGAACAGCAAAATATGGAATCATAAAAATAAATAATCATTGGATGTTGTATGTTTCCACAAATCATAAAATATATAGTGTGTTAGGACTTCTGGAAATTTTGTACATACAGTATACTGGTGCAAATACTTTTAGTCGTTTCCATGTTTTGGTGTTCTATGGTGTTGGTGCAAACTGGCCAGGGATAAAATGTTGGCATATTAAAAAGGTTTGGATGACACAATTATTGTTGAAGTTGAAGATGCAGATGATGTACCTGGATTAATGGTTTCATCATGTCTTGGGGAAAGAAATTGTCTATAGTAGTGGTCGATGGTGGAGGAAGAAAGGTTGATGGGGATGAGGGGTTGATTTTGTGGAGGGATTTTTTGCTTCTTTAGAAAAGTCTGGCGATGTGACTGTAGTTGTGGATGCTGTTAAATTTTCTGAGCAAGAAACCGGTTTTGGTGGGATAAATTGGGAGAACAAATAACTGAAAATGTTGTTAACAACAGAGAAAACGTTGTTCAATTGCTAAACATTAAGGTACTTTTGTTTGGAATAAATTTGGGAGAAGAAATCGCTCACGATACGTTAAGAATAGATATTGAAGTTTCAGGATTCCCTTGAGTTTAAAATATTGCCTGTGGGCAAAGGGTGCCCCACATATTACTGTAATCCAACGTTTGTAACTAAGTCAGACGATGAGACCGTACCTATGGATTAAGTAAGGGCAGTAATCATGGTTTGTTAACAAATTGTATCAGCGTTGAGTGGTCAGAACCAATTGCAATCAATCAGTCATGTTGAGTTCATAAAGCTGCCTAGAAATCTATATATCATTGTCAATGATATATCTGCAGAGGAAATGCGTTGTAAATGATAACTGTGAGGCGAGAGGAATATACTGTTGTGATGTAGGTTGATTAGTCTGTCAGGGGTCGTGGACGTTGGAGGTTCACTGGCTGTGCTTGTCACTGATGGCCGACCTGTACTCAGAACTTTCAAGGAATACTTAGTGGAATAGTAAAATGAACAAGCAATTCCTCTCGTGAAAAATTATCAGAAAAGTAATAGTCACTAATTATTATATACGAAATATGAAGGTAATTAAACATGCATCAACAGATATTTTCTTATAATCACACTACCACTACTACTACTACTACTTCTACTTTGCTGTCACTCGGAATCGAGTATGACGATCATCCAGCTATGATACAATGATATGAGTTATTAGGGATGTCACCTAGGATGTCGAGACTGAGGTAATTAAAGAGGCCGATACGGGACCCGCAGCATCGTCCACATTCGTTGCACATGTGGAGGGCTCCAGCTACTGTGGGAGGGGTGGTGGCAGCGTCTTTCCGACGTTGGCTCTTGTCTGCCTCGGTCTGCAGTCGGGCTAACTCAAAAGTATTGACCCTTTCTCATGTGGTGCTCCTCCAAGATTTACGATGTGGAGTAATCGACTCTCAGGTGAGGGGGTCGATCTGGCACCTTTTCAGGTTTGTCTTAAGACGATCCTTATACCTTTTCAATTGCCCGCCGGCGTTACGTTTACTATTCGTTAGGTGACTGTAAAGTAGCTGCTTTGGCAGTTTACTGTCGTCCATGTGGGTAACATGGCCAGTTCAACGTAGTTGTTCATGGATAATGGTAGCCTCGATGCTCCTACAGTTGGTGTCAGCAAGAATAATGTCATTTGTTCTCTTGTCTTCCCAGCGAACTCGGAGGATGGAACGTAGACTACGTTGGTAACAGTTTTCAAGTGCTTTGAGGTGCCTCCTGCATGTGACCCATGTCTCACTGTCATAGAGTTTGGTGGGCAGAACCACAGCTCGATATACGTGAAGCTTTGTGGATAATTTCCGCTTCCTACAGCTGAATACACGATTTCGGAGTCCGCCCAAGGCTTAAAATGCACATCTGATCCGATGCTGAATCTCCTCATCTATGTCTGCGGTGGTCGACAGGAGGGAGCCGAAATACCGAAAGTGGGCAACATTAGAGAGGGTAGTACCGTTACGCTGGATGGATGGGGGAGGTGTGTCTGAACCAGGGGCAGGTTGAAAGAGAAACCGAGTCTTACGTACATTCACCTAAAGGCCGAAGTGTGCACACGCGTCTACGTAGGTGTTCAGGATCTCTTGTAGGTCGTGTTCAGTGTGAGCAACAAAGGCGAGGTCGTCTGCATACTGAAGTTCAGTAATGGAAGCTGCCGACACCTTTTTCTTGCCTGGAGTTGTCTTATGTTGTAAAGACCCCCCTTCACCCAGTACTTGATGTTCACCCTGCTGGCTAAATTGGCACTGGCATGAGTAAGGAAGGCAGCCAAGAAGATGGAAGAGAGAGTTGGTGCCAGTACACCCCCTTGATTAACCCCTGTTTGGTTGGGGGAAAACTCTGACTGGGTGCCGTTGTGCAGGACAATGCCGTTCATGTCAACGTGGAGTTCTCACAATGGCTGAGGTTCCACGAGAGGGCTTCCCTATTGACTGAGTCGAAGGCCTTGGTTAGGTCGATGAAAGCCATGTCCAGGTCACGACACTGTTCTCTGCACTTTTCCTGTATCTGGCAGGCAGCAAAGATCATGTCAGTGGTGCCATGTGATGGTCTAAAACCATATTGATATTCTGGGAGGAAGTGCTCCGCCTCAAGAAGGAGTCTGTTTAGAATGAACTTTGGCGATAATCTTGCCAGCTACGGACAGCAGCAAGATCCCACGGTAGTTGCCACAGTCTGACCGGTGTCCCTTGTTCTTATAAATATTGACAATTGAAGCGTCTTTTAGAGCTTGGGGGGATTTCTTCCTTTTCCCATATATTCGCCAGGAGAGAGTGGAGACGGCTGGTAAGCAGAGGTCCTCCTGCTTTATACACCTCGGCTGGGATTCCATCATGTCCTGAGGCTTTGTTATTTTTCATCTGTTTGATGGCAGTAACTACCTCATCCCTGGGATGGAGGATAGCTGATGTGGGTCAGCTCTGGATGCTGAGGGACCTGCTGGGTAGTCAGAAAATCCACATCAGTGTTTCGGTTGAGCAATGAATGGTAGTGCTCTTTCCAGTGCTGAAGGAGGCCTCCATCGTCCTTAATTATGAAGTTACCGTCTGATGAACGGACGGGTGCTACGCCACCAGTGGTTGGTGCATAAACTGTTTTATTGGAATTGAAAAATTCGCGCATCTTGTGCTGATTTGCATGTTTTTGTTTTTTACCATGCTTTATTTGTAAGCCAGCCATTCTTTAGAATGTGAAGTTCCCACTCGGCTGCCGCTTTCTCTTTGCGGAAGGTCTCAGCTTTGGTCCGAGACTGAGGGTCTCGATGAGTAATTTGATTGCCGGGTTATTTTCATCAAACAAGTCCTGGTGTATTCTTCCGATCTAGCCGAGGGTCTCTCTGCAGGCTATTGTCATGACAGTGTTGAGAGTATCCCGTTCGGCACTGGGATTCGCGTTGTTTGCTGTTGGGTTGTTTGTAAGCCCATGTTCGAGCTGCTCTCTGAAAGCATATACTACTGCTGGGTCCTCCAGACGCTTAGTATTAAAACCTCTTCTGGAGGCTTGCTGCCTTTGCCGTTCTGGGGCGACGTGAAGTAAGAGCTTGGCCCTGACAAGTCGATGATCAGTGTCACAGTGGTCTGAGCTACGCACGGCATGGGTGTTGAGGACATCTCCGTGATCTCTTTCTCTAACAATGATGTAGTCAATGAGATGCCAGTGTTTGGATCCTGGGTGTTGCCACAAACCCTTGAACTTCTCGGCCTGCCGAAACAAGGTAATGGTGATAGTGAGGCTGTGTGCAGCACACTTGCTGAGGAGGAGTAGGCCGTTGGCATTACACTTGCCTAGTTCATTTCTCCCTATGGTTCCCTTGCAAATGTTAGCATCACTAACAACTCTGGTATTGAAGTCGCCAAGGAGCACAACTTTGTCTTCTCTGGGGATAGAGGTTAGATCTCTGCCAAGGTCGGCATAAAAGGCCTCCTTGATGTCATCTTCTGCATCCAGTGTTTGGGCGCATGCACTGATGAAAAAGGCATGACGTGAGTGATTCAGTGGGACTCGAAGCGTCATAAGACCCTCGTTGATCCTAATACGGATTTCAGTTAGTCTGTGTAGGATGCGTTGGCGGATGGCAAAGCCAACTCAATAAATGCTGTTTCTCTCCACTGCAGACTTACCCTTCCAGAAGAAGGTATAGCCAGACCCCTGTTCTGTGAACTTGCCCTCATGTCGATGTCATATTTAGCCAGCTCTTTTGCCACAAGGGCAGTAATTCTTTTAGGATGTTCATTTGTGCCAGTATCCAGAAGGGTCCTGATATTAGATGCAGCGACCATAAGAGGTTGTATGGTTTGTTTTTGTTTGGATCTGTGATTTTGACTGTGTTTTGAGATTGCATAAGGACTACCTTACTGGGTGCGGTTGGCCAGTCAGGTTGGGTTTTTAGGCAGGCTATGTATAGGGCACCTTTTCTAGCCCCCTCCCCATGTGGGGAGGGGGCTTCTCGAAAGGGCTGCTGAGTTGCACAGATAGGACTGGATTGCACTGCTGCCTAGATCCCAGTGCAGAAACGACTATCTTATCTGTGCCGCCCATGTGCAAAGTTGTGACTAGAGACTCCCAGCAGTCATCTCTGCCTGTCCCCGTCGCCACTCGTCCGCCGCCATAGGACTTTTGGAGGTATAGTGGTTTTCATGATGATGAGAGGTATGATGAGCTGGATGATGGCTGCGCGTGAGTTGATTTATGTGGTGAGGCAGGAGCGCAGGCTGGAACCACACATCTTGGCTTTCCCTTTTCCTGATCTAGTGGTGCAAATGTTGCAATGACTGGGGAGAGGTAGAGTTGCAATAGACTGCCGATAGCCCAGTTTGTTGGGCTTCTCCTTAGTAGCCTGTCCATCAGGCATTGCCTTCGTCCGCCGGTGTAGTCGCTGGGTTTCCACGGTGGTCATCTCTTCCACATATACCACCATTGGGGTCTTGTTGGAGCTCTGTAAGCATGTCTGCCTGATGCGGGGCTCTACCACAGATTTTTCGTTCGTGGTTGACTCCCGTAGCCTCATACCTACCAAGGTTAATTCGCCAGGCATCTGGGCAATGGTTGGTAGGAGCCAGAACGTGTCCACATGCCAGTGGACCTATGCGCCATCCATCTGGTGTCCACTGCTGCTCCGAGATCCCCTGCTGGTCTAGACTGGGCCCATGGGGCACCCAGTTACCGTGTGTTGCCACGAGGAGGCACAGCGGGAGTCTTGATGGTGAGGAGGCTGTGTACTGACAGGGGAAGACTTATGCAAGTTGCTCCCCTGTTCGCCACGAGGGCTAGTCACCGGCGGCAGCTGAGAGCTAGAGAGCAAGCAGTGGTTGCACCCTAACACTGACATAATGTTGCCACACTAGATGCATTTCACCACCCTGTGTGTATGACACCCCCCACACACACACACACACCAGGTTAAAAGCTCACCTGTGGCGACGACCACCTGGCACACGAAGACGCCAGGACAGTGTTTCTTGTCATGTTTTTTCCTGCTATGTAGGATGGTCAAGATGTTGCCTTTTGTCTCCACCAACACCTCTTCCCTCTTACAGAACTTCTTCCTGACACAAGTATACACATAATAGTGCTGATCTTTGTTTCATCATGTTGCTTTAGTACATAATATTAATTTTGAGACTTTGGGAAATTTTTGATAATTTTCTGCTACTGGCAGATGGGATGATAAAATTCTAAGTTGATAAATAGTTACATGTGGATTTGCTTTTTGGTCGACTACTTATCCATAGAAAATATTGTGAGAAAAAGAAATGGGATATTAACCGTTTGTAGGGCAATGGTGTCTCACCAGAAGAAAATCGTCTGGCGTTAGCCAGAATGAAATACTTAAGTGAGCCGTTACCCTCTAAATAGTTAATTAATTCTTTAAGTTAATAATAATATTTGATAGTAATAATGGTAACTAAGATATTAGTATTTACAATATTAGCAATTGCAATAATAATAATATGAATAAAAAAGCGATATTATTAGTACAATATAAATACTGAAGCTCACTTAAATCCAGGTTCCTTGAAGTGCAGCTTCTCCGCCCCGCAGCCCTTGGCCGCCAGGTTGAAAACTGGACATACCACCTTCAGCGTGCTACCAGGAGGACCCTGAGAGACGTAGTGGCTAAACTTAAAAAAGTATTACACACACCAATAATTTATATCGCTATTTTCTTTTAAAGCAGAAGAAGCGAATTAATCACACCTAATGTGACTTTACCTTCCCAAGGTTACCTTAGGATAATTATGTATACAGATGTTAGCCGTCGTGTGGGTTGTGTCGAGTTGCGTCTCTGTTACAAAGCGTATTGGCACTCGAGCCTTCGTTGTTGAGAGGCGGCAATTGGACAGTGATTACATAAGACCATCAAGATCGTCTTAGTGATATGATTGTGTGAAGCGATGTAGGATTGTAAACATTATTCGCGATTGTATATTGAAAAACACTCTCTACTGACTGGAGGAATAGGCCGGAAGGCATGCAACCACAAAATAATTGCCATGACAATATTTATCAAGAAAATTTTAGAAGAGATGCGCTCATGGCTGCGACTGACCATCCAATGGCCGATCAGAGAGTGTAGTATTGTGCCTTTAGCCAGGACAGTTCATAGTGACAACAGTGACCGCAGTGGAGGTTGAAAATAAATTGAAGTGGAAAAACAAATTGGGGCAAGCAATTGGCACCACTTTCGGTAGTAAACCAATTCATACTGGCGCCACAAAGAGTTTTTTCTTGTGTATGCGTATTTTCTCAGGTACTGAAATTGTGCTTATGATCCACTATTCATAGGGAGATACAGTGTACGCAGTGATAGCACAGAGATTTATTCGTTTATATGAACTGGAAAAGAGAACATAAGTACATAATAGTTATAAATGAGAAGAAAAAAACAAGCCGAGCTGCATCGAATGGCATTTATTGCCGTCATGAAAAGCTTTTTTCTTTTTCTTCTCCGTGTTTTCTAAACGACTGTGATTGTGCATATGATCCACCATTCATAACGGGATATGATGTATATAATGATAGCACATAGAGATACCAACAACTCGTCGAGTAGAACTGTATAAAAAAACAGAAAATAAGTCAAACAGTCTTGGACGGCAACACTGGACGAACGAAGATGCCAGCAGAAGGGCAGCTAAGTAATTTTTTTTTAAAGATAATACAGTATTAGTGAGCAGTATGTCACATGGGCATGATCATTCACACATCGCAGTTCACTTAGATTACAATTATTATAAAGGAAGTCATCCCAGCGAGGATTAAATTTCTTCGTCAGAAGAAATTAAGTGTGAGAGCCTGGTGGTTGGCACCTGACAAGGAGGCCTACGAGGGCGGGGGAGTTAAGGGAACTTGACGCTAAAGCCCTGTCAAAAAGACACAGAGTAGAAGCGATTATCACAGTAATAATAACGATCATTATTATTATTATTATTAAGACGACGATTAGAATTATATCACATTGTAAACTGGGCTTAAGGCTGAGAAGATTCGTTCAGAGTCTGCAAACCCCCTTCCTCCCCAACAGCGACAGCCATGAGGCGTAGGGAATCAGGGGCTAAAACCCCAGCACCACCAGGAAGTCTGTTGACATGCAATTACTACAGGACGACGTCAGATATATAGTCAGGGTCAAAAGTCTTGAACACTTTACAGTATTTGGCATGTAAGTACCCGAAGATCTGAGGTATTAAGAAGAGTTATATCCCATTTTGTGGTTCAGACATAATATATGATGACAACTAGTGTTATTAGTATATTCCAATCATATATGTATAACTCAGAAGTAGACGCCAGATATTGCTAAGTGTTCAAGACTTTTGACCCCTGTAGTATCTTGCGTTATTTAATGGGAGAATGACAAGCACATGGTCGGTCTGGCTGGGCGTTTATTCTCTGTTCTTGGTTACCACGTGCCTAACACATTTCGTGTTTACACAAGCCTAAACACTTTCTGACTTAGGTAAGAAGTAACATAATATATAATGTATATATAATCAATAAAGGCAGCATATAAACATACATATATATATGTAGGTTATGTATATAAGCTACTGTGCCGAGTAGCAACCCTGTACATAAGCTACTGTGCCGAGTAGCATTCATATATATTATCACGTGGCAACACTGCACGTGTTATGTGGCAACATTGCCCCGAGGCTGCCATATGGCAAGGCGCCTCAGTCTGACTGCGTGAGCTGTGCTTGGCACATGCTGGTCACCGCTTGTATTTCTCTCATCCACAATAAACGAACTCAGTGTTACTCAGTGTTTCCCTAGCCATCACTGCATTCTTCAGGGCACACTAGTAACCTTCATGGCGCAGTGTCTAGGATCTGTGGACTTACTAAGTGTGTGAACAACGCCGACAGTTACGTCTGCCGGTGATGCGCGTCGACTCAGTGTGTTGTGTTGTGTTACGCTGTGTTTCGCCGCGATGTGCAGTGTTGCTCCTTCACAGTGCGTTTTAGTGACGGTGGCAGTGTTAGTGTCAGTGTATTAGTGTGTGTCTAGAGCTGAGTTGTGCATTGGCCTGTGTTTTTGCGGTACCCACGGAGCACGCAGGCGCACACCCTTCTCGTGCGACATCCGGTGGGACACTGGTCTTGCCTCTGCCTCTGCCCGAGTCCGCCGTCCACCACGCTCCGTTCTCAGAGACACACACACACGCAGGCACGCACGCACTCACTCACTCACGGACAGGACAGTGGACCTGGACCATAAGCGTGATTTTTGTGCTGTTTATGTCTTATATATGTGGTTCGAGCTGTTGAGGCGCCACTTTATATATTAAACAGTGCAGTCCACGCACACACAAAGATGGGAGGTAAGAAGGGACAACGTCAAGATGGGAGACACGACTCCCCACCACCTTCCCCTCCACCGGGCGCAGACTCTCATCCTCCACCTCCTGTGACGGACATCGCCACAATTCTGAGGTGGATGGACGACCGGGACGAGCGACGTAGAGAAATGGATTTTCAGAGGGAGGAGACACGAAGAGAAGAGGAAAAGTTGCGTTTTGAGGCACTATTGGCGACCCTGGCGCTAACCCACCCTCCCTCACTGGCAGGTAGCGCGCTTCAAGGCACCAGTACACTCCCTCCTCCACCACACCAGCGTCCTCCAGCTCCCAAGGCATCTGTTCAACCCCCACCCGCCCTCTCACCAGACGTCACGTTTCAGCTTTTTCGTGAGTGGAGGCGGCGTTGGACAGATTACTCCACGATGGTGGACCTTGACAGCATGCCTCCAAACAAACAGCTCATCCAACTGCGGATGTGTTTGTCGCTGGAGACCCAGAGAGTTTTGGAGCACACGTTGCAAGTGCCTCCCGATTCTACCTCTTCAGTGACGGATGTGCTCGACCTTTTACAGGAGCATGTTAAGGGTCGGAACAACGAGGCTTTGCGTCGCCGTGCCTTTACCAGCTGCAAGCAGGCGGAGAACGAATCCTTTGACGACTTTTTTGTACGTTTGAAGAGTTTGTCAGAGGAGATCGACGTCTGCAAGGCGCACAGCCGGGAATGTGAGGAAGCCTGGATCAAGCACGGGATCTTGACAGGTGTCAGGCACGAAGAGTTGATGCAGCGACTCATCCCCCTGGACGCTTCCTCCACACTCCAGGTGGTAGTGACTGAATGTCGGTCATACGAGGCCACTAAGTCCGCCACCTCTGCCTTATGGGCCCCACCTGCTGTGAGAGCTATCTCACAATACAAGAAGGATAAGAAGGCGGCCAACAACGCGAAGGCTGCCACACGTTCTTCCACGCCTCCGCCTAGTGCTTCCTGTGGCAGCTGTGGAAAGCAGCACAGCCCCAAGACTTGCCCGGCCGCCGACGCACTGTGTCGTGGATGTGACCGTAAGGGCCACTGGTCTAACACAGACAGGTGCCCTGCACGAGGCCACAAGTGTCAGGCCTGCGGTCGCTATGGACACTACGACAAGTGCTGCCGCCAACCCAAGCCCAAAAGCCCGAGACGAGGAGGACAGCAGCGCACTTCCCTCGGGGTGGTTTCCAGATGGCCCACGCAGCCCCAAGCAGCAGCGGAGTCACATCAGGAGGGTGGAATCGACCACACGCCCCAGGGCTACCCCTTCCCCTACTATCCGCGTCGCCGTCACACACGGTGATGTGTCGGGTCACATCGAGGTGATACCGGACACCGGCGCCGATACTACGGTGATTGGGTTGAAGCACCTCCAGAAACTGGGCCTCACCAAACGCGGCCTGGGACCACCGCCGCAGCTGCAGTACTACAATGCGGACGGTTCCCAGATGCCGGACGCTGTGGGCTCCTTTCAGGCAGAGATCACCTACGGCGACAGGTCGTGTTACGGATGGATCGACGTGCGGCCTACTCTCGCTACACCCTTGTTGTCGTGGGAGCACTGCAAGGAGTTAGGCGTGGTGCCCAGAGACTTTCCTGAGCAGATCCCAGCTGCTCGGTACACCGCCAGCAGGGTGCGTGAGTTAACGAGCGACGCGCCTGGCACTGCCACACAGAGCTGCCCAGAACCCGCGTCCACTCCCACCCACACAGGACGCTCCCCTGCCCAGATCCTGTATGGTCACCCTCTCCGCTCTTGCGTTCCTACACACGCCAAGGCCTTTGCGAAGGACTGGCAGACCAAAGCCGAGAGCTGCTACCGCCGCACCGCTACACGTGCCCAGGACGCCAAGGCTCGGTATGACGACCGTGCCCGCCCTCTTCAGCCGCTGGAGATTGGTGCCCTTGCCCGCGTCCAGGACCCGACGACGACACGTTGGGACAAGGTGGGCATAGTGATGGGCGTCGGCCGGTCGCGGGACTACAAGGTCAGGATGCCGAGCGGCCGTGTCTGGTGGAGGAACCGCCGCTTCCTCCGGCCAGTCCCACCCCCTGCTGCTGGCCCCCTGACCGAGGACGAGTCACCTACACCTCACGAGGATCCGCCCCACAGTGCACCTCGACGCTCGGAGCGACTTAGGACTAAGAAGTCCGCTCAAGACAAAGACTATGAGCGTGAGGGGGGAGGGAGATGTAGGTTATGTATCTAAGCTACTGTGCCGAGTAGCAACCTGTACATAAGCTACTGTGCCGAGTAGCATTCATATATA